AATGACGTCTCCCTAAATTCTCAAACCTTTAAGAATTATAATCACTTTCCCTAACGCCCTAACGCTTCTGTCGTGTTATTTGCAGATTCGTGATGCATACATGCTCAGAATTTTCGAGGACAACCAAACACGCCTACCAAGATGGTGCAACAATGAGAATGACCAGCTTCCATTCTGCCAGATTCTTGGTGAATATAGGATGGAACTGCCTGGCTACAACACCTTGGATCCATATGCCAACATGAATGAGTACTGTCCATCTCTTCCTCCAATTTATGATAGGCCTTCTCGATGTTAGATCTGTCTTCCATCGTTTCTGTTATCTGGAATTGCCTGTTGAATTTATCTTAAGGCATCAAGTACTTTGGTGTTGTAAAATTGTTTATATAAAACTATTGGACACGGCAGTGTGTATGTATCTACAGCTTGATGGTCAAGTATGAAAAAATATAAAAACACAATACTGATATTCAAGCCTCATGAAGGTAAGCTAACAGCTTGAATAATCACCATCACGATGTACAGAGTTCATATGGTGATTTTCAGTGGTATGCCCTTTCTAAACTGATCTTCATGAAGGAGAAATCAGTCTATTTAAAACATGACCAAGTAAATCATGGTGATAGTTGGATTGGCTCAAAGTTTGCTACACGCATTCTTTGATCCACTGCTCAATGATTCTCAGAACTTGTAGTGGCTTCAATGACAATGCTTCAATTACAAACTACTCTTGTAATGCATGTTCCATCGTCTATTTTTTTTTTTCGTTCCTTGGTCTAATTAAGCTTTTACTCTTGCTACTTAATAAAGAGAGATGTTATGCTCTAACGACATCTTTCTGGCATATTATTTAAGGTAACAAGAAAAAAAATGTTATCCTCCACGCAAAATTTTCAGCTAGAAGTAAAGCTGCCGTAAATTATTTTATTAAGATTCTCTCGTGTTAGTGAAAAAAAAAATTATAATACGATATCATCAAAGAGGAAGATGCAGATTAAACTTAGGTGTTATACAAATACTAATCAGTCTTATGATAATTTACTGTGCATATCACCATATTCTTAAAGGAGATGTAATCTAAATTCGTCTTCTTTCTATTCTTATTTGGAATGAGGTCCATCAGATCATAAAATGAAAATATTCCAAATTGCATCTGTTCGATACAAAAAGTTATTCAAAATATTTAATTTGGAATTGTTTTTGGATTCATAATAAATTCTTATAAAGATACTGAAGTCTATATAAAGTAATGTTAATTAGTATTTCAATATAAATATAGGGAGTTGAATATGAAACAATATATACACTAATATGTGATCAAGAACTTACTCAGATAATTTTTTTATAAATAAGAATAGAAGAAAAATGTAAAATAAAAAACGTTTTTTTTAAGGCAAAATTACCTTGTACATAAAATAACTTAACTTCTCAAAGAACTTGCTAATGATCAGTGTTTATAAAAAAGTTTCTCAATAACAATACAAACAAAACATCGATTTTCTACCGAACTGGGTCAATCTCATTTCAAAATTATGGATTTAGGTCATACACAGACAAAGCATCAGACAACTTCCAAAATACAGAGATATTGAAGTCATGAAGATACTGACGACTTCATCTTGTTACATGATTTTATTATCTTTTGTTTAATATAGAAGCTGTGTATACAGAACACACTACTTCTCTTGTTTTCATTTTTTTTAAACTTTTTTCATTTTCTAAAAATTTAATATACATAAGCTTTTATTTTAAATTTTTTTAATAATTTGAATAATTAATTTTAACATTTTCTAACCTTTTTAAGTTTTGGTGTAAACATTTTATTCTTTGAGACAATTTTTAAAAAATTGATTCACAAATTAAAATAAAAAGTTCAATTTGTTTACTATTTTTTTATTTTTTAACCTTTTTGTTTAAATTCATTTTAATATTTTAAATAATAATTAAATTTTATACACCGTATTTATTATTACTGTATATATATAGCAATAATTAAGTTATTTTAAAAAAATAAAAAACATTTACATAAAAAGTTAAAAAAATAGTAAAAGTATTATAATTTTTCATTTTAATTTGTGAATCAAATTATTAAAAAAAATATTTAAAAATGTTTACACGAAACTTAAAAGATTATAAATTCATTTTAGTTGAATAATTAAAAATATATTTTAAGATATAAAAATATTATAAAATATTTTAAATTATTAAAATAAATATCTTAAAAGTTAAACAATGTATGATTATATAAATTTTTTTAAAATATTATGAATTTTTAAAACCAATTAACCAAATTAATAAAAAAATAATTTTAAAAAAAATGTAAATATCTTAGAAAATGAAAAAAAGAAAAGAAAAGAGAAGTCGTGTTTAAGCGCGAATTCTATAAAACAAAAGACAGATAATAATAGAATAAAAAATAATATAAAAAAAGTTGCCAAATTCTTGTATGACTTTGATTAAATTTATGATTAAGTATATTTAATCTTAATTGAAATTGTTTTTCACTCCCACGACTTCAAGATTACAACAGAAGTCGTTTTCTGTTTACAGGATTTTATCATAATGAAAGTGTGTCATGTGTCCACGACTTGTTCCTAATTTTCTTTTTAAAACGACCAATGTCCGTAAGTTCGAAATGGGATTGACCCAAATTATTAAAAGAAAAAACCAAAACATATATAACTTAAGCCTATGTTCGGTTGGGGTGATTTACTGTAGTCGCCAATTTGCAGGGATGGTTTTACGGGTTAAACGTTGTTCGGTTCGTATGATTTGCGACGATGGAAAAGCAGGTAACAAGACTGATTTGCGCCGATTATTGCTTTTTCTGGGTCTTGCAGTTTTGCAAAGATTTGCGACGATTTGGGATGAAAAGTCGTCTATGTCTCTCTAATAATTCTATAATTCCAGAAGCATTGAATAAAGCATGCATAATATATTAACATGTATTAACGTATTGGGTTTCATTTGAACCGTACTCAGCAAATGCACTGTCCTTTCACGCGTGTTACTGTGCCTTCCCATGTGAGGTCTTTGGAGTGTCCGAAAGCAAGCTTTTACATGGTGGTTTAGCAGCGCACATTGTGCTACCGAGACTCCCTGGTTGACACAACCATTCGGTGCTGCAAAGTAGAGATTCGTTTTTGAATTTGTAAAAGAATCTCTGACCATCAACAGCATTAATAAGACGGTCTTTGTACATAAGTTTGGTGTGTATTAACTGTGAGTGAGGGTTTCTTTACTTAGCAGAGCTTTGTGTGAGTGAGAGTTGTGTGTGTGCTGAAGAGATGTGAGAGTGAGCAGCTGTGGAGAACAATTGAGGTGAGCTGATGTTTGTGGAACAGATTTATTTGGCTGTTGCAGGTTGAAGACCTCTGCAAGCAGTGAAGACGAAAGAGAAGGGTGTTTGGAGGAGGAAGAAGGGGGTTGACGGAGACGACGGCAGCAGATGAAGAAGTAATGAAGGAGGAGGAAGAAGGCAGTTGATGACGACGACGCAAGCGGATGAAGAAGATCGCAGAGTTGATGTATTCAGATAAAGGGTAAAGTGTATCCGGATCCAGGGTTACCAAGTTTTTCGTTTGTTGGTGTATTCGGATACGGTGTTTCACATATCCGGATATGAGGGTGGTGTGCGACTTCCAATTGCAAGCGGATGGCAGCTCTGTGTTGCAAATCCAGTAAGCGGATCCCCATAGCTGAAATCCTGGCTCCGTCAGCAAAGGTGAAGGTCAAGAAGCATGTAAGCTGTCGTCCATGGACTGATGCTGTTATGATGTTGGAGGCGTGGCTGTCGAAAGTCTTCATCGGCGTTGGAAGCAGCGGTTGGCGGAAGGTTGACGATAACGCCAGAGAGGATGAAGGTGTGTTGTTATGACCACCCTTGGACGGAGAAATGGGGACATCAATCAACGAAGATGAGGGACATGTGTGGCATGGAGTTACAGATGAAGTGGACAGAGATGGTGGAAGTGGTGGTCCAAGAATGCATGGTAACAGTAGAGGATGAATAAGATAGTGAGGTTGATATACATGGAGGTGGCAGAAGGTGGAGTACGAGAGTTGTGAGGAGGGTGAAGGGCAAAGTATAGGAATGTTATGTGGCTTACGGGTTGGGGTGATATGGCTTCCATCAAACCGTAGATGCGCGACCAATGAGATTTGGTCATAGGTTGTTTTTGGAAATGGATTTTTATGGCATGAAGATTAAACATTTGTATGTGTTTGCAGGTTTTTTTATCAAGATCTTAGAATTGGAAAGCAACAAAGTACTTCACCGAGGTGAAGAGAGGGATAACCAAGCTGGAGGTCAAAAGAGGGATAACTAAGCTGTGAAGGTTAGGGAGATATATTGTTTCCATTTTTGAATGTTTTATTGTTAAAGAAAATCTTGTTATTTGGAATGTGTACGTTATTACTGAACTTCTTGTTATAGTCTGATTAGAGGCTGAAAAATCTTGGTGGTTGTATGTTAATAATGTTGACGCATTAAGAGATTGAGGTTCGTAAGTTGCTCTGTGTTGAGTCATTGTTCGGAGTTTCTTGAAGTCGCATGTAGGGTGAATTGAAGGTACATATTTGACAAACCAATTTATGTTTTTAACTATATGATATAAGATAGTGATTTATTTTTTTGAACAGGTTTGGTTTGGAATTGTCACTCAATTATATCAATATTGACAATTGAAATTGGTATCTTATTGGGAGCTTATCGTTATAGCGTTTTCAATCTTCCTTCAAATCCAGTTAACAATTCTGAAATTAAAGCTTTCTAAGTTTGTTGATTAGGTATGTTTCATATTAGGTTATTTAATTATTATGCATGACTATGGTTTATTTATTGAATAAATATACTTAATTTTGTTTAAATGTTTTATGAATGCATGAATATTGTTAATTAGTATGTAATTATATGAATATATGGATTTTATTGATATTGTTTATTTGTAAGTTGTATGTATAAAGTTCATCAATTATATTATTTTGTTAAGTAAATATAGATGGAAGAAGAATTAGATTTATCATATGTGGACCGTGAAGATATAGATGATGACGTGGTTGGTGTAGACTTCAATATTATCGCAATGATACGTCAACAATTACAAATAACCACTTCATTGGGTGCTTTAACAATGGTATGCATTGTTGGACACGTGTTGATTATCTTGAATAAGTACTCTAGTGATTCCATTAGTGTAATGAATTACCTACCAGACATAGACCTTCGTAGGTAGCAATTGATGTTATATCTTGTGCATACTAATCGGTGCTGCGACATTATTAGGATGTGTCCAGAGGCATTTATTATTCTTTGTGACATGCTAAGATCAACTGAGTTAGTTAAGGACACCATTCGGTCGACAGTGGAGCAACAAGTTGCTCAATTTCTTCATATAATTGGTTATAATGTTAATAATCTAAGTGTCGCATTTTTCTTTCATCGATCTGGCTCGACGGTTAGCAGACACTTTCACAATGTCTTGGATGCGATCTTAATTTTGGAATCTTAGTTTCTAATTCAACCCTCAGGAAATGAAGTTCATCCACATGTGTTTAACAACAATCGATTTTATCCGTACTTTAAGGTAGTAATTTCATTATATTCGNTATGATAAGAGATAGTGTCAGGTAAAATAAAAGCTTTTATTACCCGCTTGAAAACAAGGCAGAAACGGTTAGGAAGTACCCCAGCTGACGGATACATGTTATGTGAAATTATATAGAAATATTTAATTGTATGTATTGCTTGTTTCAAAAATTGTCAAGGAGGATTATGTATAGTTTACATTTGAATTTTTATAGGACGCTGATTTGAACAAAGTTCTTGCAGCTGTGTGTTGCTCTTTTACTGAGAATTAAATGATTAAACAGTCGCTCACGGTCAAATTCCATTGAAATATTCATTACATTAACTTATCACAATGGCTTATTTTTCTGAACTATAATCTGTTTGCCCTCTTCGTAAGATATTGGATTGGATGTCTCATTTTTATTTCCATTCAGGGTTTGGATTTGCATGATATTATAGTTGAGACTGAGAAGCGTGGGATACCTTTCGATGAACTACTAACTATTCCTGAACAAGATGAATGGGAATACAGTGATGGGAAGTCAACAACTTGTGTTGCATTTATCCTATCAATGTATAAAGAAGCTGGAGTTTTTGGTCCCATTTCTAGTTCCATTCAAGTAACTGAATTCACAGTAAGTAATGACGTCTCCCTAAATTCTCAAACCTTTAAGAATTATAATCACTTTCCCTAACGCCCTAACGCTTCTGTCGTGTTATTTGCAGATTCGTGATGCATACATGCTCAGAATTTTCGAGGACAACCAAACACGCCTACCAAGATGGTGCAACAATGAGAATGACCAGCTTCCATTCTGCCAGATTCTTGGTGAATATAGGATGGAACTGCCTGGCTACAACACCTTGGATCCATATGCCAACATGAATGAGTACTGTCCATCTCTTCCTCCAATTTATGATAGGCCTTCTCGATGTTAGATCTGTCTTCCATCGTTTCTGTTATCTGGAATTGCCTGTTGAATTTATCTTAAGGCATCAAGTACTTTGGTGTTGTAAAATTGTTTATATAAAACTATTGGACACGGCAGTGTGTATGTATCTACAGCTTGATGGTCAAGTATGAAAAAATATAAAAACACAATACTGATATTCAAGCCTCATGAAGGTAAGCTAACAGCTTGAATAATCACCATCACGATGTACAGAGTTCATATGGTGATTTTCAGTGGTATGCCCTTTCTAAACTGATCTTCATGAAGGAGAAATCAGTCTATTTAAAACATGACCAAGTAAATCATGGTGATAGTTGGATTGGCTCAAAGTTTGCTACACGCATTCTTTGATCCACTGCTCAATGATTCTCAGAACTTGTAGTGGCTTCAATGACAATGCTTCAATTACAAACTACTCTTGTAATGCATGTTCCATCGTCTATTTTTTTTTTTCGTTCCTTGGTCTAATTAAGCTTTTACTCTTGCTACTTAATAAAGAGAGATGTTATGCTCTAACGACATCTTTCTGGCATATTATTTAAGGTAACAAGAAAAAAAATGTTATCCTCCACGCAAAATTTTCAGCTAGAAGTAAAGCTGCCGTAAATTATTTTATTAAGATTCTCTCGTGTTAGTGAAAAAAAAAATTATAATACGATATCATCAAAGAGGAAGATGCAGATTAAACTTAGGTGTTATACAAATACTAATCAGTCTTATGATAATTTACTGTGCATATCACCATATTCTTAAAGGAGATGTAATCTAAATTCGTCTTCTTTCTATTCTTATTTGGAATGAGGTCCATCAGATCATAAAATGAAAATATTCCAAATTGCATCTGTTCGATACAAAAAGTTATTCAAAATATTTAATTTGGAATTGTTTTTGGATTCATAATAAATTCTTATAAAGATACTGAAGTCTATATAAAGTAATGTTAATTAGTATTTCAATATAAATATAGGGAGTTGAATATGAAACAATATATACACTAATATGTGATCAAGAACTTACTCAGATAATTTTTTTATAAATAAGAATAGAAGAAAAATGTAAAATAAAAAACGTTTTTTTTAAGGCAAAATTACCTTGTACATAAAATAACTTAACTTCTCAAAGAACTTGCTAATGATCAGTGTTTATAAAAAAGTTTCTCAATAACAATACAAACAAAACATCGATTTTCTACCGAACTGGGTCAATCTCATTTCAAAATTATGGATTTAGGTCATACACAGACAAAGCATCAGACAACTTCCAAAATACAGAGATATTGAAGTCATGAAGATACTGACGACTTCATCTTGTTACATGATTTTATTATCTTTTGTTTAATATAGAAGCTGTGTATACAGAACACACTACTTCTCTTGTTTTCATTTTTTTTAAACTTTTTTCATTTTCTAAAAATTTAATATACATAAGCTTTTATTTTAAATTTTTTTAATAATTTGAATAATTAATTTTAACATTTTCTAACCTTTTTAAGTTTTGGTGTAAACATTTTATTCTTTGAGACAATTTTTAAAAAATTGATTCACAAATTAAAATAAAAAGTTCAATTTGTTTACTATTTTTTTATTTTTTAACCTTTTTGTTTAAATTCATTTTAATATTTTAAATAATAATTAAATTTTATACACCGTATTTATTATTACTGTATATATATAGCAATAATTAAGTTATTTTAAAAAAATAAAAAACATTTACATAAAAAGTTAAAAAAATAGTAAAAGTATTATAATTTTTCATTTTAATTTGTGAATCAAATTATTAAAAAAAATATTTAAAAATGTTTACACGAAACTTAAAAGATTATAAATTCATTTTAGTTGAATAATTAAAAATATATTTTAAGATATAAAAATATTATAAAATATTTTAAATTATTAAAATAAATATCTTAAAAGTTAAACAATGTATGATTATATAAATTTTTTTAAAATATTATGAATTTTTAAAACCAATTAACCAAATTAATAAAAAAATAATTTTAAAAAAAATGTAAATATCTTAGAAAATGAAAAAAAGAAAAGAAAAGAGAAGTCGTGTTTAAGCGCGAATTCTATAAAACAAAAGACAGATAATAATAGAATAAAAAATAATATAAAAAAAGTTGCCAAATTCTTGTATGACTTTGATTAAATTTATGATTAAGTATATTTAATCTTAATTGAAATTGTTTTTCACTCCCACGACTTCAAGATTACAACAGAAGTCGTTTTCTGTTTACAGGATTTTATCATAATGAAAGTGTGTCATGTGTCCACGACTTGTTCCTAATTTTCTTTTTAAAACGACCAATGTCCGTAAGTTCGAAATGGGATTGACCCAAATTATTAAAAGAAAAAACCAAAACATATATAACTTAAGCCTATGTTCGGTTGGGGTGATTTACTGTAGTCGCCAATTTGCAGGGATGGTTTTACGGGTTAAACGTTGTTCGGTTCGTATGATTTGCGACGATGGAAAAGCAGGTAACAAGACTGATTTGCGCCGATTATTGCTTTTTCTGGGTCTTGCAGTTTTGCAAAGATTTGCGACGATTTGGGATGAAAAGTCGTCTATGTCTCTCTAATAATTCTATAATTCCAGAAGCATTGAATAAAGCATGCATAATATATTAACATGTATTAACGTATTGGGTTTCATTTGAACCGTACTCAGCAAATGCACTGTCCTTTCACGCGTGTTACTGTGCCTTCCCATGTGAGGTCTTTGGAGTGTCCGAAAGCAAGCTTTTACATGGTGGTTTAGCAGCGCACATTGTGCTACCGAGACTCCCTGGTTGACACAACCATTCGGTGCTGCAAAGTAGAGATTCGTTTTTGAATTTGTAAAAGAATCTCTGACCATCAACAGCATTAATAAGACGGTCTTTGTACATAAGTTTGGTGTGTATTAACTGTGAGTGAGGGTTTCTTTACTTAGCAGAGCTTTGTGTGAGTGAGAGTTGTGTGTGTGCTGAAGAGATGTGAGAGTGAGCAGCTGTGGAGAACAATTGAGGTGAGCTGATGTTTGTGGAACAGATTTATTTGGCTGTTGCAGGTTGAAGACCTCTGCAAGCAGTGAAGACGAAAGAGAAGGGTGTTTGGAGGAGGAAGAAGGGGGTTGACGGAGACGACGGCAGCAGATGAAGAAGTAATGAAGGAGGAGGAAGAAGGCAGTTGATGACGACGACGCAAGCGGATGAAGAAGATCGCAGAGTTGATGTATTCAGATAAAGGGTAAAGTGTATCCGGATCCAGGGTTACCAAGTTTTTCGTTTGTTGGTGTATTCGGATACGGTGTTTCACATATCCGGATATGAGGGTGGTGTGCGACTTCCAATTGCAAGCGGATGGCAGCGCTGTGTTGCAAATCCAGTAAGCGGATCCCCATAGCTGAAATCCTGGCTCCGTCAGCAAAGGTGAAGGTCAAGAAGCATGTAAGCTGTCGTCCATGGACTGATGCTGTTATGATGTTGGAGGCGTGGCTGTCGAAAGTCTTCATCGGCGTTGGAAGCAGCGGTTGGCGGAAGGTTGACGATAACGCCAGAGAGGATGAAGGTGTGTTGTTATGACCACCCTTGGACGGAGAAATGGGGACATCAATCAACGAAGATGAGGGACATGTGTGGCATGGAGTTACAGATGAAGTGGACAGAGATGGTGGAAGTGGTGGTCCAAGAATGCATGGTAACAGTAGAGGATGAATAAGATAGTGAGGTTGATATACATGGAGGTGGCAGAAGGTGGAGTACGAGAGTTGTGAGGAGGGTGAAGGGCAAAGTATAGGAATGTTATGTGGCTTACGGGTTGGGGTGATATGGCTTCCATCAAACCGTAGATGCGCGACCAATGAGATTTGGTCATAGGTTGTTTTTGGAAATGGATTTTTATGGCATGAAGATTAAACATTTGTATGTGTTTGCAGGTTTTTTTATCAAGATCTTAGAATTGGAAAGCAACAAAGTACTTCACCGAGGTGAAGAGAGGGATAACCAAGCTGGAGGTCAAAAGAGGGATAACTAAGCTGTGAAGGTTAGGGAGATATATTGTTTCCATTTTTGAATGTTTTATTGTTAAAGAAAATCTTGTTATTTGGAATGTGTACGTTATTACTGAACTTCTTGTTATAGTCTGATTAGAGGCTGAAAAATCTTGGTGGTTGTATGTTAATAATGTTGACGCATTAAGAGATTGAGGTTCGTAAGTTGCTCTGTGTTGAGTCATTGTTCGGAGTTTCTTGAAGTCGCATGTAGGGTGAATTGAAGGTACATATTTGACAAACCAATTTATGTTTTTAACTATATGATATAAGATAGTGATTTATTTTTTTGAACAGGTTTGGTTTGGAATTGTCACTCAATTATATCAATATTGACAATTGAAATTGGTATCTTATTGGGAGCTTATCGTTATAGCGTTTTCAATCTTCCTTCAAATCCAGTTAACAATTCTGAAATTAAAGCTTTCTAAGTTTGTTGATTAGGTATGTTTCATATTAGGTTATTTAATTATTATGCATGACTATGGTTTATTTATTGAATAAATATACTTAATTTTGTTTAAATGTTTTATGAATGCATGAATATTGTTAATTAGTATGTAATTATATGAATATATGGATTTTATTGATATTGTTTATTTGTAAGTTGTATGTATAAAGTTCATCAATTATATTATTTTGTTAAGTAAATATAGATGGAAGAAGAATTAGATTTATCATATGTGGACCGTGAAGATATAGATGATGACGTGGTTGGTGTAGACTTCAATATTATCGCAATGATACGTCAACAATTACAAATAACCACTTCATTGGGTGCTTTAACAATGGTATGCATTGTTGGACACGTGTTGAGTATCTTGAATAAGTACTCTAGTGATTCCAGTAGTGTAATGAATTACCTACCAGACAGAGACCATCGTAGGGAGCAATTGATGTTATATCTTGTGCATACTAATCGGTGCCGCGACATTATTAGGATGAGTCCAGAGGCATTTATTAATCTTTGTGACAAGCTAAGATCAACTGAGTTAGTTAAGGACACCATTCGGTCGACAGTGGAGCAACAAGTTGCTCAATTTCTTCATATAATTGGTCATAATGTTAAAAATCGAAGTGTCGCATTTTTCTTTCATCGATCTGGCTCGACGGTTAGCAGACACTTTCACAATGTCTTGGATGCGATCTTAACTTTGGAATCTAAGTTTCTAATTCAACCCTCAGGAAATGAAGTTCATCCACATGTGTTTAACAACAATCGATTTTATCCGTACTTTAAGGTAGTAATTTCATTATATTCGTACATGTTATTTCAACAAAGGACGAACTCAAATTATGAGTAATATGATGACTTCTTATTTTTATGTTTAGGATTGTTTAGGGGCCATAGACGGTACTCATGTTCGGGTCAACGTGCCAAGATGTGAAGCTCCGAGATTTCGTGGAAGAAAAGATTGGCCAACTCAAAATGTGTTTGCGGCTTGTGATTTTGACATGAAATTGACATACGTTCTTGCTGGGTGGGAAGGGACTGCATCTGATTCGAGAATTTTTAAAAATGCTCTTGATAGAGATGATCTGTTGCTTATCCCCCAAGGTCAGTGTATACATTGCGATGTTGAAGATTTAGTGTAGTAGTGACTAATTACCATTATATCCCCAAAATTGTAGGAAAATACTACCTCGGTGGTGCAGAATTTATGTTGAAAAGCACAGTGTTGACTCCATATAGAGGCGTAAGATATCACCTTAAAGAATTTACACGCAGAGGACCACAAAATGCACGGGAGTTGTTTAATCATCGCTATTCATCGTTGAGAAATGTTAATGAAAGAACTTTTGGTTGTTGAAAAAAAGATTCCCTATCATTGCAAGTGGCACTGAACCACACTATGGATTGGAGACAATGACAGACATCATACTAGCTTGTTGTATCTTGCACAACTTCCTTCGTGGCGTGGATAGTGATGACTCATTACTTGATGAAGTAGATAACGAGTTGAATGAAAGGGAAGACCATAATGTTTCATCATCTCAAGTCAGAGAAGACGACCATACGATTAGTAGTAGTATCAGGGATTCTATAGCAGATCATATGTGGCGAGATTATCAAAACTCGTAGTTATTTTATGTTATTGTGTTGTATGACTATTTGATGTTATGTGTATGACAAGAACAAGCAATTAAGGATGTTTAATGTTAATTTGTTACCATTTTGTTTATGAAATAGGTAAAAAATGAACAGCGGTAAGACATCCGCCATTGAGTCCTCTTCTCCTACTAGAGAGTTCATGAAGTGGACAGAGGACATGGACGCACGTCTTCTACACTCTATGATTGAGGAATCACGAATCGGTAATATGATTGACGGAAGATGGACATCCCAAGCATATAGTAATATAGTTGATCATCTTCATAGCTCTGGGTATGTCGCAATTACCAAAAATAATGTTAAAAATCGTCAGAAAGTCTTGAAAGATAAATGGCGCGAGGTACATGACTTGTTTTCTGGATTGAGTGGATTTGCGTGGAACCCGGTTAGTATGACATTTCATGCTGAGGACGAGGTTTGGATGGACCTGATTCAGGTATTTATACAAATACTAACATTTTGTTGATCGTTATTATACATCATATGAAGCAATGTGTTTGATCTTTTTGTTGTTTCAGTCGAGGCCAACGGCGGCAAAGTGGAGAGTTAATAGTATAAAGCACTACGATTTAATGGTCGAGTTATGGGCAATTGATCGAGCTACTGGGAGTGGTGTTCGAACTGCTCGTCAAGCACGTCGACAGTGTGTTGGGCCTCGTGTCAGTGTTGATTTGAATCAAAATATTGAGTACATTCCAGAACAGCCTGATTGGACGAGGTATAGAGACCCAACTCCACCATCACCTCCTCCATCTGTGGATGAATATAGTCCAGGACAGACTCAATCTGTGCCTTCCGTCCCATCCGTTTGAACTTCATCCTCACGAGGCTCAAAAAGGAAGGCACCTATGGTCGATGTTATTGATTCTCAATTTGATAAGTTGACGACCAGCCTGGATGGTTTCGCAAATGTTCTTAGCTCATCAAATGTTCATTTTGGTGTGATATCTGATGCAGTCGTGCGTCAAGTCTCAGCAATGGAAGATAGAAATAAAATACTCCGTCGCAGCTCGACGTACACATACACAGAGGGCGACATTTAAGAAATGTTGAGTGGTATGAACATTGTTGATGAAAACTTACTCGAACAATGTTATGATTTCTTATGTGCGAACCCCACATGTACAAAGAGGTTGATGGGACTTCCACCACACAAGCGGTGGAATAAATTATGTAAAATGATCTCCGGAGGTGATTGTTAGGAAGTGTTATCTGACTGGTTGTAGTAATATTATATTCATTAATGTTTCTGTGATGTAATTATGACTTATTGGTTTTCCATCCATCAACAATTTATAAGTTATGGTTATGGTTACGATGCATCGTGTATGTCCTTGGTTGCTCATATTTTGAAATATAAATAATTTTGGTTAACTAACTTTGTTATTGTTTTCATTATTTGCTTTGTACCATAGCATTGTGAAATGGCCTCATCATCAACGAAAAGGCCAAGAAAAACTCATAAGGGAAAAGAATCCCTCAATGAGGCAGAAGATGCAGCCCATGTCACACCATCTGTAGAGGACCAATTAGATCAGCGTCGTTTCATCACTAACAACCATCAGATGGACACCTATGCAGCTGATTTCTATACAAGGAGTATTGTTGGTCCAAAGATAATGAATTTTGAATCATTTGCCAGTTTAGGGTTATTGCTCCTAAATCATCTTCTGTTTCAAGGGGTTGTCGAATTTCTTACATTGCAGGGACCTTACTATCCTGATTTAATCAAAGATTTTTATTCAAATCTGAAGATTTCTGGAAATGGATATTTGATCAGTGGGGTAAACAAGAGAAGAATTAGATTGAAATCTGCTGATTGGTTGAATGTAGCTAAAATGAAGTATGAGGGTCAGAATTTGTCTTTTTCAAATATCCCTGACGACTTCTCATATGACCGAGAGATGACATTAGTTACTATGGTTATACCAGAAATGCAGGGTCACCATGTTAAAACGGTTGGTTGTTTGAATATTAATGATAGACTTCTGCATTATGTTATTGTGCACATGTTGACTCCACGAGCAGCGAATTATGCTAGGTTATTGTAGGAAGATATCTTTATGATATGGGTGCTTAAAAATTCTATAGCTATCAATTGGCCTCATCACATCATGCAACATATGGTTAAATGCAAGGCCGCTAACACACCCCTACCATACGGTGTCCTTATCACACAAATCATGCAATATTGTGGAGTTCATGTTGATGGCGATGTCAGCACTCTTATTGGGACCCGACATCATTTTTCAATTAATTCTTTGAAGATGTTGAATATTGTTAACGTCAACGGTGTTTGGCGACACGATGTCCATGGTGATGACGAAGAATGCCAACCACACCATGATGACAACCCTGTGCAACATCCTCCACCTCTTCCGAATCCTAATTTGATGACTCAAACGTGGGAAGGGGTACAAGACTTGCAACACAGAATGCAGGGTATGGAACAAATGCAGGTGCGAGTTCAACGTATTGAAGATAACTTGGAAAACCTTTCCCTCGAAATGAACCGCCAATTTGCTCACCTCAATCAGAATGTTAACTTGATTCTTCACCATTTACATGATTGAGTTAATTTTTATTACGATAATGTATTACATGACTTTGTTTTGCTTAAATTGACTTATGTGTTTCAAATATTACATTACTTATTTTTCCAATTATTATCTTTCACATAAGCTTCGGTAATTTTTTTTTATTGTGTACTTTCTCATCTGCAAATTAGATGGACTCTCGAATCATTGATGAAGTGCAAAAACAAATTAATCTATCAAGAAGACTATCTGCCATTCTTGAACGACATACACAGGCCATGGAGCGTCGAATATCCCTGGTAAATGCTAGGATTCAATCATTTAATCCAACTACATAAGAAATTGAAAACTTGTTACGGACTATGAACATTGAAGATCATAATTTATTCAGACAGTGCTTCGATTTTTTATCTTCGCATCCATCCCATACAAGACGTCTAATAGGGATGCCAATACAATTTCGTTTCAATGCATTGCAACGATACATTGCTGAATCAACGTGATCATGAACTATTAAAAGAATATTTGTATGTTGAATTGTTGCAACTGTTTTTTAGGTCATGTAATATTATAACTTGCTACTTAATTATTTGTTTGTTTAATGTTAATCATTGGCACTTCCGTAACAAATAAATTGATATCACTTCGTACTAAATTATATTACAAGCAAATACTACATTTTAAAATAAATTCTTTTTACTACATTATAACTTTTATAATTTTTCACCATTAATTTTATAAAATATTCATAATTTTTTTCTCTTCATAAACATTTTTACAATTAAATATAACATTACAAAATAACATTTTATAATACTTTTATACCTAGGGGCATTTTGGTAATCTTTATTTTCTACCAATTAAACTAATATCTAAAATTTATCACATCAATCAAATCCTACACTAATTCTCACAAACTTTACTTCCAAATCCACTCTCAATTAACCACAAATCCACTCAAAAAAACAACTAAAAAATTTCCCTCAAATCCACTCAAATCCATTCAAATCATCTCCCCCAAATAGGAGTATTTTCGTTGTCTCGTATATATATATATATATATATATATATATATATATATATATTATAGTGTTATGTTTTAGGTCCGATCACTTTATTGGTCTTCACCCGATGAGTACTATATTCAATCAGTACTATATTCATGTGGTATAAGAAAGAGAAAACACACTTAATGGTCCTACACTACACCTATATACCTATTTGTTTTTTTTTATTTTCTATGTAAAAAGGCCTTTTTTTTATACAGAGAAAATCAATCATATTATTGTAGATGGTATAATTCAATGTTCTCAATCTTCCGATTAGAATTTAAAGTTGTAGATTGAATAACCACCGATCTTATTCGTTCTATCACAACTTAAAGTGTAGATTGAATGACCAATTATCTAAATCATTCACTTAAAATTTAAAGTTGTAGATAAAAGGATTGACCATCTATCACAATTTATATTGATGATAGAACTATCAACAATCTTAATCATTCAATCACAATACAAGTTGATAATCAAATTATAAGTGATTTTAATCGTTCGATCACAATGTAAGATAATGATTAAATTTTCGACAATCTTAATTATTTGTTCACGATTCAAATTATTGATCGAATTTACTTATAGATAAAAAGCTAGGAAACATATTTTTTGTCCAACCTCTCATCTCAAGAGCTCCAAGCTAGAGGGTTATATGTTATGTTACGACTAAGGTATGATCTTATCATATCAATCTCCATCCTATGGGTACTTTTTTTCATGTATTTGTAATTTACATTTAATGACCAAATTATGATATCACCATTAAGGTATTTAAATTACTTTTAATAATATTATAGGAGTATTTTATTAATAAATATAATGAATCTAGATACTTAAAAGGAAAATATTCATATCAGAATAATCCTTTAAACAAAGGTGACAAAAGAAAGTAAGAAGTCTCTAAATGCTATAGCTTAAAGGTCTGCATACTTCTTAGCTAGAATATCTTCACGTCCATTGTGGGGCTGGTAAAATTGGTGATGCACTACACTTATTTATTTTCTACATAGGATGATATTTTCTTAAGGAACAAGGACAACTACCAAGGCAATGTCCCGATATGAAGGTGGTAAAGCTTTGATGATTCAACATCTTTTAAGATGAAATAACTTTTATCAAGTATGTGAAATTTTAGGGAGGGATGCATATCAATTGGAATTCCTTTATATTTGAATAATTTTAACACGAAATATTGTTAATATTTTTTTTTTACAATGTTGTTTCCTGTAGGGTTTTATATGAAGCATAAGTAAAGAAAGGAATGTTATCATAACTGGCCAACAAGATGACTGAAAAGATTCAGGAAAACCAAATAATATATTATTGTAGATCGTACAATTCAATGATCTCAATCATTCATAACTTAAAGTTGTTGATCGAATAATCGATGATCTTAATCACCCAATCATAACTTAAAGTCATAGATCAAACGACCCGTAATCTTAATCACCCTATCACAACTTAAAGTTATAGATTGAATGACTGATGATCTAAATCACTAGATCACAACTAAAAGTTATAGATCGAATGACCAATAGTCTTAATTGTTTTATCACAACACAAGTTGATGATCGAATTACCGACAATTTTAATCTTCTAATCAGAACATAAGTTGATGAACAAGCTTTCGGTGATCTTAATCATCCGTTCACTGATCAAATTTACTCACAGGTAAAAAATTGAGAGATTATGTAGTGTTATGACTCAGGTATGATCCTATCGCCCTATCAATATCCACCCAATTAGGCTTCACCTGATTGGTTTCCACCCTATCGATACTCTATTCATGTGATAGTAATATAAATTTAATGAACAAATTATGATATCACCATTAAGGTTAATTTGCTTTTAATGATAACAAAGCAGTAACTTATTAATAAATTATTAATAAATATAATAAGTCAAGATAATAAAAGTAAAGTATTAAATCATAATAATCCTTCAAATAATAATAATAATGGGAATAAACAAAAACACTTAATGTTTTAATTTAAGTCTTGGGTAATTAATATATATATATATATATATATATATATATATATATATATATTACTTTTTTTAAAAGAATCAATTGAATATCTATTTTTGTAAAAAAAGACTCATTGTTGTCTTTTGGTTAAATTCATTTTGGAAGTGCCATCTAGGTTGTCATAGGTAAAAATCTACATCAAATACTACTTTAAAGGTGTGACATATCAAAATGAATAAGATTCCAAAATAAAA